TGAGTATGAGCGTACAGTGATGGATGCCGTTATCCCCCCTCCCCCCTTTCTGTCCCCCGTTCTCGAAGGAGCTGCAGTTCCGCAATGCCCTATAAATGAAACACTGTTGCTCTTTACTGATTTGGCATGACTCATCCTTTTCATCCCTCTTTTTTTTATTGGAACCAAGATCCTCCTTGCTGCAGAATTCACAGGATTACTGAGAGGGAGAAACTCTCTTTGGATGGTGGCTAAAGCATTAATTCGTCCAATTTGTTAAAAACATGGACTCATTCAGGAATTAAACAACCATCCTTATGAGTGAGTCACTGAAACGTTCACAGCTGATTCATTCAAAACATAGATTCATTCAGAAATGAACTAAATGACTTTTATTAAGTGAGTCTAAAACATTTACTCATCCAATTCATTCAAAAGCACTGAATGAACTAGTGATATTGGAGTTATGCATAGAATAATTTTCAACCAGTTATTTCAAAACATTGATTCATTCAGGAATTAAGCAAATTACTATTTATGAGTGAGTCACTGAAGCATTCACTCGTCTAATTCGTACAGAACACTGATTCATTCAGGAATGAAACAAGTGACCATCTGAGTCATTGAATCATTCTCAATCGATTCCTTCAAAACATCGAATCGAAGAGAAAGTCATTTAGATGTCATTTAAACATCGAATTCTGCTCTGTGTATTTAGAAATATTTTCATTGGCAAAGTTAAAATAGACACAGTGACTTTAACCCAATATTAACAACAGCATTCTTGCTTGTTTGGTGTTACTTCACTATTTTTCCTGTTGTACGTGCCTTATCATAACATCTGAAGGTTACCACTGCTGCAGGTTACTTGGTGATTCTACAGTCCATCAGCTGTTCATCCGGGTGTAGATGGATGACCCTGTGGAGAACTTCCACTCCAGCTTTCATTTATATGAAGCAATTCCCAGTCTTGTAAAGCAATGGCTGAACTATCATAGTTTATTGATGCTATCCAGCATACCTATGAATTGTGCTCTAGCAGGCCTGCAGATAAATGAAACCTGGCTCAGGGCCTCTCTCTGGCTGCGATTGAAAAATCTAAAGGAAATCTTTAATTTCCCCAATACCTTGGGGTTTTGAATAGAGCAGTTTTGATATGACATGTTTGTTATACGACAGCATTACTCATAGTTCAGCTTTACCCTCATCTGTGGCTTGGGTGTGTTACCAAATGACGATGCAATGCACACGTGGATGTTTTCTTTCTCTTTTTTTTTTGTCAAAAATATCCTTCTCTTCTATTCTTTTTGTACTTTCTTTTCCCCTCTCCTTGCTCTTCCTCCTAATTTTCCCTTTCTATTCTTTTCTGTTCTCATGTACATTTTCTTCCTCTTCCTCTTCATGTTCTATTTTCATTCCTTATCTCTCCTACTTCCATTCATCCTTTTCCTCTTCCCTTTTACTTTGTCTCCCTCTTCACTTGCTCTTTCATTGTCTTCTCTTTCCTCTTTACTTGCCCTCACCTTCCTCTACACTTCAATTCCCCCCTGCATTCTCCCTCTTCCGTTCTACTTCCTCTTATTCTCTCCTTACTCCTTTTCTCGTTTCCTCTTCCCTTTTACTTCATCTTCCTCTCTGCTTTCTCCTGTTCTTTTCTTTCTTTTTTGCCCTCTCCCTCCTATTCATCTCTTCCATTCTATCTCTTCCTTTCTACTTACTCTTATCCTCTCTGACGTATTTTTTCCCCCTCATTTTCCCTCCTACTTACTTTTTCCTCTTCCCTTTGACTTTATCTTCCTCTCTTCTTCCTCCTCCTTTTCTCTTCTCCTTGCCCCAACCTTCCTGTGCACTTATTTCCTCTTCCATTCTCTCTCTTATACTTCCGTTTCTTTTCTCCTTCCACTTTTTTTCCTTTCTTTTCTGTCCTTCTTCAATTTTCTTCACATTCCTCTTCACTTTTATTTTCTCTTTCCTTTTTCTTCTTCATGATTTTCACTTTTCATAGTTTCTTCCCCTTCTACTTCATCTTCCTTTACGTTTTATTTTCTTCTCCCCTTCCCTCTCCTTCTACTTCCTCATGTCGATCTAATTCCTTTTCGTCTATCCTTCTTCCTCCTCTTCCTTTCTACTTCCTTTTTATTTCACCTTTCCCTTTTCCCTACTTATTCATCTTCCTTTCACCTTCCTCATCATATTTCTTCTTCCATATCTTACTCTTTCCTTCCTTCCACCACCACATCCTCTTCTCTTCTTCCACCCTTATCTTCCCTTACCTCTCTCCTCTTCTCGAAGTTGAACACCATATTAATCCAAAATGGCTCTTGACATTTGATTCTTTTGTGCGGAACTGTATGATTGCCATAATTGTTCTCACCTCAACCTGCTCACCCTGCCGTGTGATGGAAAGTACAGAAGCTTTTCTAGCCCGTGCTGTGTAAAGAAGCACACAGCCGCATTGTTGTCAGCAGCAATGGCATTCACTTTTTATGTTATTTGAAAAAATTAATTCACTTTGTTACACCTCACACCTTTCAAGGCTTTCGCCGCTTGATCCTCTTCTTTACCTCCCTCCCTGCTGAAGTGTTTGCCGCCTGCTTCATCATCTCTTACTGGGCCAGAAGTTTAAAAATGTATTCATTTCATAATCTTATTTTTTGTTTATTATTTTTTCATCTAATTCCCTTCCCACACGAAATCCAATTTTGCAAGGCTCATTGTTTGAGAAGCAGCAGGATTTTTGTGGAGTGCTTTTTTGTTTGCCCCCCTCTCTTTCTCTCTCTCTCTCTGTCTCTGTCTCTATCTCTATCTATCTCTCTCTCTCTCTCTTGACTTGGATCAACCTAGATTGTGTTATGCAATTTTATTAGTGTAAAATCAAATCAGGGAAGATAAACCGGACCCCGCACTTGAATCCAGCAGGGCTTCTTTTTTTTAAGATTTGTGATGTTAAAGTTTTATCTTTTGTTGTAATTGAGCATTTACACACAAGATATATTACAATTATCTGTGCATGAAATTCGATTAAATTAAGTAAAAAATGGGCATATCGTTATACTGAAAGTCATTCTCCTTTAAAACGTTTAGTGATAACATGGTTGAGTTTCATGTGTGATCATCACAGTCTAGAAGACTTCAGGGCAGCAGTACAAGTAGATTTGCGATGAAAGAATTGATTGTTATGGCAGTCATTATTAGGTTAAGACCAGTACCCTGCCGAGAGGAAGAGGAAAGGCAAGCAAGAGAGTGAAAACTAGTACAAACCATTTTGGCAATGCTTTCAATACATCGTGTTGTAATGCCCAAAGGGAAGAACATCCATGTTCAACGGTTCTCCTTAAGGTCCTACAAAACCGACTGTGAGCAGATTTTCCAGTGCTCAAAGTGTCTACAGACATAATACAAGAATGAGTCTAATCTAAACGCCCCTACAAAAGTCTCGCCTAGTTACACATGACCCTACACTTTAAAAATTGCTGGGTTGTTTCAACCCAAAGTTGGGTCAAATATGGACAAACCCAAATGTTGGGTTAAAAATGTAATTTAAAAAATGTACAGTTGAAAGTGAAAGTTGAAGTTGGGTTAAAATTTTAAATTACATTTTTAACCCAACATTTGGGTTTGTCCATTTTTGACCCAAATTTGGGTTGAAACAACCCAGCATTTTTTAGAGTGTAAATCCAACTAATTGTATAATGCTTCTTCAAGACCAATCAGTCATTCAAGAAAATTTGCAGCTAATAAACATAGTAAACATAGTAAAAAAAAGTTTCAGGGTTTCAATACAAGATTTCAAAACTAACACATGCTAACGTTAGAGAAATTGTGTTTTTAAACTAGCATGCCACTAGCAATGCTAATGCCATGGCTTTGGTTATCAGGGAGTGTATGAACTGAAAGATTATATAGTACCTTGAGTGCAAGGGTAAAATCATTTTATGTTTAAATAGAACATCTGATAAATGCATAAATACAAATGTAAATGAATGCTAAAAATGCTAAAGCTAAAAACAAATGTGAAGAAAAAAACTAGACTCTCTAAATCTAGACTCAATTGACTAGTCAGCTGGTTGATGACTAATAAACTAGTTAACCTGACCAATTCCTTTCAGAATAGACACTAAAGTGAGTCACATACTCAGCTGTGAACAAGAGGGTGCAACATGCGTCTGTCCACACACTTCCTGTCCCAGGTTTCATTCTCAGTCCAGTCACATGCATGTCTTTAAGTGTGTGTTCGCTTTAGATATGTAGGGTTGACTGAAGGATCGGTAGGTGGGAAGCCGTGCTTTTATTTATGCCTCCTCTGCAAGAATAAATAAAGTGACACAGACAGACAAGGCAGCTCATATCTCCCTGACTGAGGAGAGGGAGAAACAGAGAAAGCAGACCCAATATTGCGGTGCAGCTTTATGTGACTTAGATTGAAAGTGGTGTGCGTGCAAAGACATGAACTCTTAGACACCACACGCACTCAAATTTTTTTTTTTTTTTTACAAAAAAAATGGATATGAAACACTCTTGAAGGTCACCTGCGATGCATGTGTGTGTGAAAAATATTTTGCCTGTGATTCACTTCCACTGGGCTAAAGGGACTTGTGTGGCTATACAAGAGATATTGTTTTCATTGCTATAGTACAGCGACTGGCTGTTCCTCTGTACGTTTGTCTGTGCTTGTGTGTTAATGAGACAAAGAATGTTCTCAAGATTGCTGTGCTATTTATTTTTTCCCTAGTTTTTCCAATTTACTTATTTATTAGACAGTTAAGCCCTTATAGTGTAGATTTGCGCCATGTAAAATGATTGCAGCACAGCTTTTATGGCAGTGTTTTTGGCTAATTTAGTGAATCAGGCACCAAAGAGTATGTGCTAATAAGCATTTGACATTGTCATAGGAGTATTATGACATTTTAGTATGTTTTATCTATTGTATATATCTGTATTAGCATTGATTCGTGTCAGTCAGTTAGTATTCCAAAGCTTACATGGTTCTTTCTCTGTCTCTCTCTTTTTTTTTTTTGCAGTTTGGCCTAATATAACCCTTCCCAAAAAGTGGAGAACCTGTCAGCGAATTATGAATGATAAACAAGATGACCTCCTCCCTGATGCAGCAGACGATGAGAGGTCCTAGGTGGAACCGGGCCCTGTCCGACCCATTGTTCGTGCTGTCACTGGCCCTGCAGCTTCTGGTGGTGGCTGGCCTGGTGCGAGCGCAGACCTGCCCCTCCGTCTGCTCTTGTAGCAACCAGTTCAGCAAGGTCATCTGTACACGACGTTCCCTTCGAGATGTACCTGATGGTATTTCCACCAACACAAGGTACCTGAACCTTCAGGAGAACCTCATCCAGGTGATTAGGGTTGACAGCTTCAAGCATTTGAGGCACCTGGAGATCCTGCAGCTCAGCAAAAACCATATCCGCACCATTGAAATTGGAGCTTTCAACGGGCTGGCCAACCTCAACACTCTGGAGCTCTTCGATAATCGTTTAACCACAATCCCCAATGGGGCTTTCGAGTACCTGTCCAAACTTAAGGAGCTTTGGTTGAGGAATAACCCTATTGAGAGTATACCCTCTTATGCCTTCAACCGTGTACCATCGCTGCGAAGGCTAGACTTGGGTGAGCTGAAAAGACTCACTTATATTTCAGAAGGTGCCTTTGAAGGCCTCAGCAACCTGCGGTACCTGAACCTGGGCATGTGCAACTTGAAGGAGATCCCCAACCTTATTCCTCTTGTTCGTTTGGATGAGTTGGAGATGTCAGGAAACCAGCTCTCTATTATTAGGCCAGGGTCTTTCAAAGGCCTTGTCCACTTACAGAAACTGTGGATGATGCATGCACAGATCCAGACTATCGAGAGAAATGCCTTTGATGATCTTCAGTCCCTTGTGGAGCTCAATTTGGCCCACAATAACCTTACCCTCCTGCCTCATGACCTCTTCACCCCACTACACCACGTGGAGAGGGTACATTTGCACCACAACCCCTGGAACTGCAACTGTGACATCCTCTGGCTCAGTTGGTGGCTAAAGGAAATGGTGCCGGCCAATACCAGTTGCTGTGCCCGCTGTGCGTCACCTACCAGCCACAAAGGGCGCTACATCGGCGAACTCGACCAGAACTATTTCCATTGTTATGCACCGGTGATCGTGGAGCCCCCGGCGGACCTGAACGTGACTGAGGGAATGGCAGCAGAACTGAAATGTCGAGCGAATTCTTTGACCTCAGTCAGCTGGATCACGCCCAATGGGTCCATCATGACGCACGGGGCATACAAGATACGCATTTCCGTGCTCAACGATGGGACGTTAAACTTTACCAATGTCACGATGCAGGACACTGGAACGTACACTTGTATGGTGAGCAACTCCGCAGGCAACACAACAGCCTCCGCTACTCTTAATGTGTCTTCGACAGAGAACAGCAGCTTCAGTTACTTCACTACAGTTACCGTCGAGACCACAGAATCGTCACATGATGAGGGCCACCCAACAGTACAGCAGAAAGGCGCCCCAACTCCTTCTTCTGGAATTTGGGAGACTTTACCACCTTCTTTCACTACTACCACCACCACCACAGCACGGACGCCACTGTCCACCAAGGCCACCGATAAGACCTACACCATCCCTGTCACGGCCCTGATCGACGGCTCCCTCAACACCTTGGATGAGGTCATGAAGACCACGAAGATCATCATTGGTTGCTTTGTGGCCATCACGCTGATGGCGGCCGTCATGCTGATCATCTTTTATAAAATGCGCAAACAGCATCACCAGCAAAACCACCACGCACCGACACGAACCATTGAGATTATCAATGTAGATGAGGATTGCGTGACGGGTGGACCTACCATGGAGAGCCACCTCACCCTTCCCCCACTGGAGCATGAGCACCTGAATCATTACACTGCTTACAAGACTGTGTACAATCACGCCTCCACCATCAATTCTATACACAGCTCCGCCCACGAACCTTTGCTAATTCGGGCCAGCTCAAAAGACAATGTACAAGAAACCCAGATCTGAACTGCTTTTCATAATGGGGATTAAACGAAGAAAAAAAAAGACCTCTAAAACTCTTAAGGAACAGTATGTGACATATCGATTTTGAAGATTGTCGAAACAAAGACAGTAGACTGATGCAAGACGTATAAGAAGGATGTTGACCGGTAGAAAAGGACATTGGGAGTTGAGTGTACGTCAACCGTTTCAAAAGTGTCTTTACATAACAGAAGTTATTTATTTAAGGAAAATAACTATTGTGGTTTAATCAAGAAAAGATGTAATCAGCAATTATTTTTCCAGCAATTATTTCTCCATGTTTTTGAATGTTATTTTAAGAGTTGTTGGTTTACTAATTTGCTTTTAAACTCTGTTTAAGTCTGTTCTGTATGTAAGGACCCAATTCAAAGTCATTTGCAGCTGAATCTGAAACCTTTCCATCTGTCTGAAACTTTAAGATTCACATTTAGTGTCAATACTTTTAAAATATTAGGTTATAGATTGTCATATTAGAAAACTTTCCACCCTATTATTGTTTAAATTGACCATGTTAATTCTAAATGATTATTTTTTTGACTCCCCTTAATTAATGATATTTGACCAAATCACATTATTCAGTTACCCTTGCTGAAAAATAGGCTTTTTAAACCAGATTAAGCAGGTTTGCTGGTCATAGTTGGTATCTCAGCCTGGTCAGGCTTATCTGTTGGCTGGTTTTAGAACGGTTTTGGGCACTTTTTAAATTGGACAGTTTGGGAGACGAGCTTAAACCAGCTAATTTTTCAGCAGGGATGGCTGCTACAAATTATACGCAGATGTATACCTGGCTTCTCTAGCCTAAAATTTAGAACAAATAGCCCTGGAAACATGTCCCCATTTAAAACCAGGCCAAATGTCAGGAACACATGTCTATTTGATGCATGCAGGGCAATTAATATCGAATTGTTTCTGTGCTCGGACCAGAAGATTTATGGATTAAGTTAGCATTTGGGGTCTACCCACTTGCTCTTAAATGCATTTTAAGGTATCTCCTGCTTAAAATAAGCTTCATGTTATTAAACTGTTTTCTTCATCTTCTTTATCATAGCAAACAACATTGTGAGTTCCTGTGGCAGTTCACCCTTGATACCCTACTGAAGTTTCCCAATACTCTTACACAGATGCAGCACACTCATTCTATGCCAAATGCTATATGGGCAGGAGGCCGAAGACTGTAGGCCTTTATTCAAAGGTTGACAGAGTAGAAATGTGGTGAAAGCATGGAAATTTCTGACGTAGCACCATTTTCATTTCAATCCATTTTTTATTGGTGCTGTCCATGGATACAGTTGAATGAATTCATTCTGGGATGGTCTAAAAGCCAGACATAGAGCCCTAAATAAGAGGGCAAAGTCAGTGGCGCTCAGATCTAAGGCTTCCAAAGATGCCACAGGTTCGTCTTTATAGATTCTGTAAACCGACTGTGTTATTTTTTCCTAGTTTTTTTCTTCCATATTCTATCTATCGCTGTCAATCTTTTTATAGGCAGTTATGCAATTCTTTTTAAACTTCTAAGTCATGTTCAATCATTTTTATTTATTTTTCGGCACAGATCGAGAATGATACATTTGGCTTTAGACATACTCTAGCCTTTGGCTGCAGGGGTGGATGACTTGAGATTATGAATTAATTTATGAAATCAGAATGGCCTGAGATGGTCACTATAGAAACCAATGACCTTGGACAGGGTGGGTGGGGGCGGTGAGTGGCCGACAGACATTGGTTTGACACTGTAAATGCATTCAGAGTCAAACTGGAGAGCGGGGCGGGGTGAAAGAGCCAAAGTGGACTCATTTGAAGTGCATCATTTAATCTATAAAGCAATCTAGAGGGCTATAGGTAATTTGAAGTAAACCAATAAACCTGTGACATTTCATTCAGATTCGTAGTGTTTTGTTTTGGCCATTCATAATTAATGCAAAACGCACAGGGGACTGACAGGAAAATGTTTCTTTTGCTTTTCTGTTCTTAATATAGATGCCGAATGATACCATGTGACATTTGGTGAACATTTTAGTATCATATTTTGTTCACATACCAGATGCACTCTGATTTGAAAATATCTAATGCAATTATGCTTGTCAGCTTTGCTATTTCAGTTCATTACAAAGAAAGTTTTTGAGAGTACCTCCTGCCCATTAGAAGCAAAGGCCATCTGGTACATGTGCTAATCAAGATATCCAAGCGTGCAAAAAAAAGACTGTTCTTCATCTGAATATGCTGCTCTTTCGAATCTCAATTCACTTCCTTTTCTTTCTGATTTTATTTTGTGTTGTCACTGAAATTGACGTCAATCCGAACATTACAGCGAAAGAAGATCCTTATTGTCTATGGAGTTTAGCACAAAAGTAAACCAAGTCATTGAGTTGAGTGTTGCTTTCAGTTGCATTTTATTTGATTGGTTTGAGGATTTGGATCATTGTCTTAAATTGCCAATTTTTGGAAAACCTTTTTTTCGTATGTTTGTTATGTCCCATCATGTGAACACATCTGTGTTTTGGGTTTGGGTTAAGGAGGGAACGAGATGCTTTTCTCTCCGTTCCACGTAACTTCTTTCTTTTCGTCTCTGAGAGGGAATGCTGTTCTAGTGGTAGATTTCTATAAAAATACATTTTGAAAATAAAAACAAAAAAAACAAAACAAAAACTTTTTAAATTTTAATTTTACATGTGCCAACCTGTTCTAAAAGATTTAACAACAAAAAAAAGAGAGCGGGATATGCTGTAAAAGACGACTGGATTGATTTTCATGTAAACATTATTTCATGACCTTTAAAAAAAAAAAAAAGATGGAGTTCGATTATAGAAATCAGAGTTTGTAGTTCATACACAAGATAAGGTTACAAATAAACTATCATTGTCTTTTCTCTGTTGTCTCCTTACTTTTCTTTGTGTCTTGTGTTAAAATGACATGTACAATTTTAAGCAATAATATTGATGACTGTAACACTGTATTTTAAATGACATACTTTGGGAAAACATATTTGGGTGTGTATAATGCTTATCAAAACAACATTAGCCTGCTGTGTGTGGATGATTGATTCAGTATGTAGTGTGTGAAAGGCTCCACCTGTTGTTTTCGAGTCGACAGAATTAGAAATGAGTGAATAGAGAAAAGGCACACGAAATGTTCTTAGTTGATCTAAAGCAGCTGGACGTAGTGCATGTTGCAGTGTGAATACATTTCACTGGCTGCCTCATTGTGTTCATCTGTGAGCACAGCAGTGCTGTTTTCCAGTGCTGTGCTCAGAGACAAATACCTACGAGACGAAGCTCTACTTGTTTTACTTGTGCTTGACTGTTTTTAATGAATGTAATTGAAATATTTAAGAGGAGAGAAGGAACATCTGTTAGAAATGATGTCAAAAAGACATTTTTTTCAGTTTTGATATTTAATTTAGCAGTATTTTTATTATAAATGTATCAGTGTTTACCAACAATTTATCACTAGACAAAAAATTTAGCATTTAATCACATTTGTATTTAATCATTTAGCATAGGCCTATGCTTCAAAGCGGCTTACTTACAGATAATGAAAAACAAGCAATTTTTCATACAGTACTCAACAACAATGTTCAAATAGCAAATTTGGGGAATAAACTAGTGTGTAAGAAGAGAGAGAGAAAAAAAATCTAATGGTAAAATGTAATGTCATTATATTTGGACATTATTTTGAAGCCCTTCCTTGATGCTTGTTTCCTGCTTCACATATGTTAATTCCCCTTGTTGATGTCATAGCCTTGATGAACTGTCCTGTGGCCGTTTGATATGGTACGTTTACACAACGATGCACTAAAAACAGAAACGGTTTTACTTCGCGTTTTTTGCGTACAGAAGACAACGTTGTCAAAAACACTCCACGATCTAAAAACGCTGTATGCTGCTGCCAGGCCAGTAGATGGCAATGTAAAGAAGCACTACGCGAGACTGAACTCATACTCATGCGCATGGCATCAGCGTTTTCACAAATTCACATTTTTGTAGTTTACACGGAGATGTAAATAGATGATAATGGTAGTTTTCTAAAACGCTGTTGTCACATAAAAAGTTTTCCGTTTTGAGTTGAAAACGGTGTCGTGTAAATGGCCCCTAACGCGTGATTTTTTAAAAAAAAAATTCGCCCCCCCCAAACCAGTTCAGCGGAAATCCCGCCCTACAGCTAATTTAATTGGTTAAGGTTAGGTTGAAGTAGCCTGGGAAAACCCAGACAACTTCCGGCAAATTTAGATTTGCTCTGAAAGTTAGTCTGGCAAAGAGCTCATTCAAGCCCATTTTCAATCCGTCGAAATCGAGGCACCAATCAGAAACGTTGGGTAAATGGCAATGTAAATGTCGCTGTTGTTTTATGTGACAACAGCGCTTTACACAATGACGACAGCGCTGGGATTTTGAAGCAGATTTTGTAGCCTACATGACAAAGATGGATGCCGCTGTCGAACATCACTCGTTCGAATCAGCTATCGCGTCTATTTTAAGCGATTTGAACGTTTCCTTTTTGTTAAAAACCGAGCAAAGATCAACACTCGGAGATGTTTCTCCGCCGCTCTGCATACGCTCCTTCATCGCTCTGATTGGTTTTAGGTCTATCCGCGACGTCCGTTGGTGACGCCCCTCTGGAAATGATTTGTCTATGGCGCTTTGCCAGACCATAACTCAGTTACAACTGAGAATGGTCTGGTTTTAACCAGGCTAAGGTTGAGTGGTAGGGTTAGGGATTAGTGTTTGGTGTAGGCCATCAGCCCTGTGATTTACGACCAATGAAATCTTTAGAATCGGCTGGGGGGCGGAGTTTCCACTGAACTAGTTTAAGATTAATTCTGGAGCAGAAGGGCAGTTCACAGAGGTTTGCTCTTGGAACGTTGACAGGAGTTTTTTCTGGGATACTGCCAACCCATAATAGCAAAATGCCACCATTTTTAGTTGTTAGCTTAGTCTGTTGCTGCATTTAGAAAAGTATATAAGCAAGGACACTGTTTAGCTTGAATGCCAATGTTAATATTTCATTCATGAATATAATACGTAACGTTTGTGTTCCACAGAAGAAGGAATGTCATTCAGGTTTGGAACTTCATGA